TCATTGTACAGGAGTGCTCCAGCGGCATGTTGAGTCTGAGTCTGAACCTCCTGTTTTGAGCTGATGATAGATGTGAAGACGTGCTGGTGATGAGGAGGCGCTTTGTCATGACTTTGTAATGTGCTGGAAAATCCCCGTTCTGTCAGCTTCCAGCTGTTTATGTTGAGTTTCTGAGTCCGTCTCAGAGTTGTGTAAGTCCTCGTCATATTTAATAGACGGACTTATTTCAGTACCAAGGACAGGGCCCGTTAAACGTCTCCGTGAGCAGCTGAAGAGTTTCTGTTCAGATTATTCAAGGCTGGATTAGCAAGGTGGAAGAGCAGAAATCTGCCTCTGGGCCACAGACCTCCGGGGCCTCCAGGGCCTCCAGGGCCTCCAGGGCCACAGACCTCCAGGGCCTCCAGGGCCTCCAGAGCCTCCAGGGCCTCCAGGGCCACAGACTTCCAGAGCCTCCAGGGCCTCCAGGGCCTCCAGGGCCATGGACCTCCAGGGCCTCCAGGGCCACAGACCTCCAGGGCCTTCAGGGCCTCCAGAGCCACAGACCTCCAGGGCCTTCAGGGCCTCCAGAGCCACAGACCTCAAAGGCCTCCAGGGCCTCCAGAGCCATGGACCTCCAGGGCCTCCAGGGCCACCACTAGTCTCACTGCCACATGGTTTTTTGTTTTGATTTGTACATCTGACTTTAAATTAGCGTCAGTAAAGCTCTGGTCCTGCAGTAGTACATGCTCTTGATGCTTGAAGCTGTGTTGAAGATCCGGGCCATGGAGAGTCTCGTGGCAACAGATCGAACACAAATGAAATGACCTGTGAACTCCAAAGCTTTCTCTATGTTTTGACCGATGGGTTGTGTGTCTGCACTCCTGCATCATGGATCTACCTAGAACTATTTCCAGAGAGCACTTGCACCGATGCAACCCCCCATCATCTGGACCAGTCATAGTTGTCACTGTTTTCTTCTACAGAGACTCTTGTGTGATCTTGTGAGTGTGCTTTAGATGTTATCATGCCTCTTCCATCAAGCTTCTGTGGACTGGGAGTCACTTTGTCAGCCAGTGTTTTGGTATCTTTAGGTCTTCAAGGTGCTTCCTGTAAATGCCATCTCCAAAACATCTTCTGCTCCTCTGTTAGGACTTTACATTCACTGTGGTAGTCATGGTCAGGTTCATAGTAAACCTGCTGGACTGTTGGGGACACATTCTTTGGTCAGATGAGACTAAGATGAATTTGTTCAGCTCAGATGGGCTCCAGGAGCAGGTTTACTATGAACC